CACGAAATGTACTCATTTCTGTACAGTATATTTACTATATCTATCTATATATATAAAGTTTATCTTTATAAATTTTGATCTGGGGTATATCCAATGCATTTATACAATCAGGAAACATAATTATCAAGTAGATTGATTTTTGAAAACAATTACTCAATTTTGGATAAAAATACTATTTTGATCATGGGTACATTTAGACAGACTATTTTATTTAAGAGAATGTTTTGAGCATTGTTTTGTATTTTCTTTCTCTTTTTTTTTTTGTATTGGTTGTGGGGCTTGAACTTGGGGCCTGATCTCTGTCCTTGAGCTCTTTTGTTTAAGGTCAGCACTCTACTACTTTGAGCCATAGTACCACGTCTGGGGTTGTGATGATTAATTGGAGATAACAGTCTCAAGGTCTTTCCTGGCTGGGCTAGCTTTAACCGTAATCCTCAGATTTCAGCCTCCTGAGTAGCTAGGATTATAGGTATGAGCCTTAGCTTTTTTTTTTTTTTTTTTTGGTACTTGCTAGGCAAGTGCTTTACCACTGAGCTACATCCCAGACCTTTAAGTTGGTGATTGAGAGCTTAAATTCAAGGTATACTTTCTAGTCAGTCACTCCACCATCAAGCCCCCCCCTTTTTTTGGCACTAGTCCCTGCTTAGATGAAATCCTTTCAGCTGGGATGACAAGCATGTGTCACCACACACAGGCTGTTGAATTTTGAGAAGGGGTCACATGAGCTTTTTGATGGAGCTGGCCTTGAACTGAAATCCTGATCTCAACCTCCCAAGTAGACAGAATATTCACAGGTATAAGCCACTGTACCTGACTTCCCATAAACAAGTATTTATTTACTAACCTATTCTATACCAAATTCTGTCTAGGATGTTGGGGTCTATGACTAAACAAAAAGTATAATAGCAAACCAAAAAGCTGTTTATTTCTTAAATTTCATGTTGTTGTTTTTCTTCTTGTTGTTTATAGGGAAATAAATAAGAAACACATAATTAAGCAAATTATGATGTATATTGGAAAGTGACCACTTTAGATCGAAAACTCAGAACTAGAATATATGTGTATGTCTATATGTCCATCTATAAATACCTAGATAGATTCTATCTATCTATCTATAGATTCTATCTATTATTTCTCTCCCTCCCTCCCTCTCTCTCTCTCTCTCTCTCTCTCTACCTACCTACCTACCTAAGTACTTACATATCAAATCACTAAGCTTGGAAGCAGGAAATTAAGCCACCATTATAAGACAAACTATTGGGCAGTAGACGGTTGCTATGAAGCAGACGTTTCCCTTTAGATTGGAAACCACTCATCATTTAGATTATCACCACTGATATCACCAAAGCCCTAGTGAAACAAGGATGATTTGAAGACACATGCATGACTATTTTAGGTGGGCTCTGGCAATAGTCTGTTCTTAGAATTTCACTACATTTTTGTTCTTGCTCTTCTATTTGCCCTTCTTTAATTGCAAGCCATGTTAATTTTTCATGTGTAGGAGCCATGTATGCTTTCCTAAATAACTGAGTCTGCTTAAACATGTTGACTAAAGAATCCACAGAACGCCAGACACTGGTAGTTCAGGCCTGTAATCCTAGCTGCTCAGGAGGCTAGATTTGATGATCACTGTTGGAAGCCAAGCTGGAAGTGGCGCTGCGGCTCAAGTGGTAGAGCTAGCCTTGAGCAAAAGAAGCTCAGGGGCAGTGCCCAGGCCCTGAGTTCAAGCCCTAGGACCGGCACACACACACACACAGAGAGAGAGAGAGAGAGAGAGAGAGAGAAAATAACAGTACAAATGGAACATAGAGGGAAAAAAATCCCAGAGGTGGCAAATGATTATTTAGAAAACACTAGGATAGACCATCAGAGTCACAAATGCAGAATGTAAATGACTACAGCCGGAATCTCACAAACCATATGGGGAGGAAAAGCCATCTACTGCAGGACAGCGCGGCTCCCAATCAGTGGGGTGTTGAAGGGCAGGAAAAGTGCCATGATAAACGAAAGCAAGTAGGTCAAAAGGTCAAGCCAAGCCAGCACATTGTCCCAGAAGAAAACACATAAATGCAGAATGGCTATTAAAACCCATGTCCTAATTTAGAAAGGGATGGTCCTTTTCTACAGAAAAGTAACAAAATGGCCACTTCTCTGAATGAGTGATGGGGCAATTATCTGGGATTACAGGTAATAGGGTCTTTGTCAATTTAACATTTTAATTTGATTCTGTAGTTTAAGTTCCTTCACTTGGAAATTCTCAAGGGTATAATTTCAGACTTCCTGTAGATTAAAGATTGTCGAATGCTTCACTGATGAGAAGAGATAGAGAAGAGCTTTGCCTCACCTCTCATCCAGTGAAGCCACTGGAAAAACATGACAGTATATCATCGTAATCTCCTACCTCTTTATAAGACCACAAGGCACATTTTAGGATAGACTAGATAGAAATGCCTTTTCAGCATAATATAAGGGTAGAAGACTGAGGAAGAATTATTCTCAGTACCATAAAAACTGGTAAAACAGCTAGTCAATAGCTAGACAACATCTTCAGGATAATTGTGGAAATAAGGCAAACAACTCTGTACGAACATGCCTTTAAACCTTACCATTTAAACTAGTGAGCACACTGCAAAAGCTTTTAAGAAGCATACCATAAATCTGCGAGAGAACATCTCTCAGGGATAGTCACAGTTTCAAAGAGCATGACATAACATTTTTCCCACACTGGTTTTTTTTTTTTTTGTGGGGCTTGAACTCAGGATCTGGGTGCTGTCCTTGAACCTCTTTGTCCTTAAGGCTAGTGCTCTATACCACTTGAGCCACAGTGTCACTTCCGGTTTTTGAGTGGCTCATTGGAGTTTAGAGTCTCACAAGAACTTTTCTTTCCAGTCTGGCTTCAAACTGTGACCCTCAGATCTCAGCCTCCTTAGTAGCTAAGATTACAGGTGTGAGCCACCAGAGCCTGGCTTCTAGACTGTTTTAACAACAGCTTTTCTCTTTCTCATGTCAGAATAGCTTCATTCTGCAGAATGTACTACTATGCTCCCATGGGACTTGGGGTCAGACCCTCCTTGCTATAGTCTTTATCCAGTCACTCTTTGTGGCTCAAGAGATTTCAGACTGTCCTCATTGGCATGTAGATATGAGAAAGCATACACTTGTAACCACTTTACCCAAATGGAAAATTTATCCCTTCTAAAAACTGCAGTTTCACAGTGAAGGAAAAGAGGGATGAAGAGAATATCAGATTTCTGACTCCTCTTCTGTTAAGTGTTCTCTCTGTCTGTCTGTCTGTCTCTCCTGTATTTAGTGAAATTTTAAACAGTTCTTTTGTAATCCTAAGAGCAACATCTCTTTCAATGACTTAAACATTCTATCACTAATAACTCTTTGCTTTACTTTTTATTTGTGTATTTATCTTTGCAGTTTTTATTGTGATTAAGTGATTACATAAATTTCACATATTTCACAGTATTGTGGGATAGTGATACTTAGTTAAAGTCACAAACACATTCTAACCTTCATAGGGCAAATAACACAACTTTTTGGAGAGTTATTAAATGGATGAAGTCATGAAAATGATCAAAGGATATCTTTGGACCTTCTACCTACCACACAGCAGACGAGACCAGTGTATTCATTTCTTCATTCATTTTAAGATTTTCTTGAGCAACTAGGCAGTTCCAAGGCCCTATGCTAGGTTTTAGGATTATAGATTGACAGGGTCCCTTGTGTTAGAGGCTCTCACGTCTGCTTGGGTAGGCATACAAATAACAAGTCACAGGAAAATATAAATTGAGTCAGGATTAGGGTTCTGTCCACTCAGAGAAATTTGGAAAATGAAGAGTAGCTAAGTGGAGGGTCATAGGTCAAGAGAGGCTTTCTGAAGAAATTGATCCTGGATCTGAATCTTGGAATCTGCATCCATTAGAGGCAGAAAAGGGGAAATGGTGCCATAGCAAAAGAAGGAAATGTAGGGAAGGTGGAAGAATGCCTGAGATCAAACAGGGAACTTTGGAGCATGTGCCAGAAGTGCTGCTCAATAGGTATAGAGAGGTCAGAGAAACTGAGAGCAATCAATGACGTTTGACAGACTAGTCCAGGTCTTGATGGATCTTGAAGGCTGTACCAAAGAAAGTTTTATTCTGGAGGCCATAGAGAGCCAATGTAAAGATTTCATCAAAAAGATGTTAACATATTTTCTTCTGTGATGGCAGAAATTCTTTTTCCCTCCCTGTTTGGTCTTATCTACAGTTATCTTTTCAATGATCATTGATTTAAAATTTTGTTAAAAAACTGACTTTGTGTATGTGTGTGTGTGTGTGTGTGTGTGTGTGTGTGTGTGTGTATGTGTGTGTGTGTGTATTTTGTTTAACATCAGGTTTCCAGTTTGGTAACATTCAACATGCAGATAAAAGGCATGCTGTATGAAATTACGTATCTTTATGTCTTTGCCTTGATGAAAAAGAGTTCTGGGTGTATTTGCTGTGTGGGCACACGGTTGATAATTGAGTGTACACATTCCTAAAGGCTGCATTTTAAAATGAGCCTATGGTTAATTTATTATAACTATTTGGTGAATCAGCAAAAGTGCTTAGATAATTTCTCATCTAGAAAGACGGGGAAGGAAAACCTTTCTTAGTACCCAAGAAAAATATTTATAGAAGTGATTCGTTAAGCTGCTTACTCGTTTCTGACATGAAACTAAGACTCAGCCAAAACTAGGAGTAGGTCAAGGCATAGACTAGTAGCTCTTGAGAAAAACAGCAACTTGCATTGCTGTCCTGTCCCCGAGTTTTGTTACCTTCTCTGAGTGACCAATGGGGAAGGTGTCAACTTTGCAAATGTGGTCGGCTGAGAGCTCCCTCACGGAAAGAACACACAGCCATGCACACCCCCTGCGTGGGCCATTTCTCAAATTGCTTCTGGGCATTTTGGACCACTGTCCCGGGTGCCTGGGGCCTCTCTGGGCCCTCCCCTCTTCTCTTCCCGGTACTCACAGTGTCTGGGTACTGGGCGGTATGCTGGGGATGCTGTGGATGTCCTTGCAGGTGACTCTGAAGTCCTCCTCCTGGTGGCACTCACAGAGTGGAGAGGGGCACCCCTTGCCCTCCAGGGTCCCGGGCAGGGCGAGCAGCAGCAGCAGCTGCTGCAGCAGACGCCCCGGCCTCATGGTCCACGGCCCCTCCCGAGGGCTACTTCTTCATTCTGGGCTCCAGTCTCATTCTCTGCCCGTCTGCGCCTCGGCGCAAGAGCTGAAGGAAGACAGGCAGGGACCTGGAAGGGGGCGAGGGAGGGAAGGGCCCCCAGGGCTATGACCTCACCATACCAAAGGGAGAGGCTGGAGAGGGGCGTGGTGGCGGGGGTGGGGGGAGAGAAGAGGCTCTAAGTGCTCTGCCTCCCGGGGCAACTCTCTCCACCCAAACAAGCCTACTGGTCACGCTTCTTGGCCAGGGCCAGGCAGCCCTCCAAGTGTGCTCCCAGAACACCCCACCACCCCAACTCCCGTGCGGGGCGGCCCCCGGCTCTGTCCCTCACCCCACGCCTCCCTCCCATCAGTTCTCTTCCAAGGCACGGTCCAGATGCCTGCCTCTTTCTTCTCTCCCGGGCCCAGCCCGCTGAGTTCAGCCCGCCGCCGCCGGCGCAGGTGCCAACCCCACGGGGCGCGCACCGCGTCCAAAGTCAGCAGCGGCTCAGGCGTGGACGGTCCGGGCTGAGCTGGGGGTCTGGCAGGACTTGGGATCGTCCTGGGGAACGCACGCACCGGTGCCCGGGAGGAGACGGAGGCTGGCGCCCGGCCCCCCGTCCAGCTCCGCAGGATCTTCGCGGCTGTGCCCCCTGGAGCGCCCGCCCGTCTCCCGGGAGAGCCGCCCGCCCCGAGGCGCCGCCGGCCCCGGTGGGGTGCGGACCCCACACGCTCCCGGCAAGCCGGGACCTGGACTCTGGGGCCATCTGCTGTGGAGAAGGGAGAACAGCAGCCCCCCGGCCTCGCGCCCTCCGGGGAGGGGACCGCGCTGCCGACTGCAGACTGACCCTGGAAACCGGCAAGCTTCTATTTTGTCCTCCCTCCCCGCGAAGTGGTCCCGGGTTCATTGTTATTCACATACCGCCCCCCACTTAAAAAAAAGATTAATTAAAAACGTGAGTCAGATCGCACACTTTCTACTGCAAAGTTCGGTCTTGCATACTATTTTTTCTTGGGGTAACAGGAATTTTGACTCCTTCTAGGCTAATTTATTTTCTATGATATTCCAGAATAAGGAGTGGGGCCGGTGGTAGAAGTTATCATGATAGAAATCAGAATTAAGCGAAATAAGTTTTAAAAAAAAAAACAGGAGGGAATATACAGGGGTCTGTATCTTGATTAGACAAGGTCTATATGTGTTACTATTCATTGAACCATATGCTTAGAATGTGTTGTAATGTTTATAGAACCCTTATTGGTAACCACCCTAAACTGGAGAGACCTGAGTGTCTAGGAATGATGAACATAGATCCATACAGTGGAATACTATTCCGCAATAAAAACGAATGCACTACCAGAGGCTAGGGGCTCACATCTGTAACTCTGGCTACTCTGAAGGTTGAGATCTGAGGATTGCAATGAGGATCACAGTTTGAAGCCAGCCTGGACCAGAAAGTAAGTGAGATGCTGATCTCCAGTTGACCCCCCCCCCAAAAAAAAATGGAAATGGAGCTGTGGCTCAAGTGTTGAAAACACACACACACACACACACACACACACACACACACACACACACACACACACCAAACTGTCAAGCCCAAATAACATATACAAATCATACTGCTAAGTACAAGAAGTGAAAGTTAAAAGATTATGTATTCATGTGTAACCATTCACACAAATGACGAATGATTTTCAAAAAGGAAAAAAGAAATCTAAGTACAGGAAACACCTCAGGGATTGCAAAGTACTGAGGTTTGGTTGATACCAAATGATCACCAGAGAACTGATGTCAATCAATCTTGATTGTGGTGTACTTTGAGAATGTGTTTAACGTGATTCATAGTGATTGTATTTTTTTAATGCAGGCTCCAGGCTTGAATGTAGGGCCTTGTGATTTTGCTCAGCCTTTTCAGAGATGGCTGGTGCTCTACAACTTGATCCAGACTTCTAGTTCAGCATTTTACTGCTTCATTGGAGATAAGAGATGAATTTTTCACCTGGACTGCTCATAACTATGATCCTCAGACCAAGCCTCCTGGTAGCTAGGGTTACAGGCACAAGCCACTGATGCCTGTCTGTGATTGAGTTTTGAAACTTAAATAACAGGGAGAAATTTCATTTGATCTTGATATGACCTTATATTTTTTACATTCCTGTAAATATTCTTGAGATTATCAGATACTTCAAAGGGATTAATATCTTTGGATCTTGTTTTTATGATCCTTGTTAGGCATTTGAATCTAGGTCTAATTCCTAGTACTCAATCAATGCTCTGTAAATTATGAAACATTTCAATCTGTCTGGTTGGCATAGTTGTTATTCTAGGTCCCAGATAAGTGACAGGCATTTTCCCCTCTGATATTGAGGCTAGTTAGAGGCTTCTTTCTTCAGCATCTAATCCTCCCACCCACCCCATACATCTAAATGATTAGTACACTAACGAAGATTCCCTGCAGACATTTGATAGTTCTTTAGACTTTCCTCTCCATATGTCTCTCTCCTCCCATTTCATCTTTTCAACCTCTCAGTTTTGTCTTTTCAATTCAAAGCATCAGCTGAACTCTGTCTGGGTTTACTCCTATTGCTTCATGGTTTGGATATTTTCTTAAGACAGTAAGTTGTAGCAATCATAAAACTTGCCTCATTTGTTTCTTGTCTTTCAGGGATCACAATCCTTTGATGTCTATGGTCATGAAAAGGATTGTTTCACACATTTTGGTATTTTTTTTAATTCTCATGGGAAGGCATAACTGGACTCTATTATTCCATGCTTTTGCTGAAAACTGAAGTGGTATTCCAATACAGGTAACATTTTAAGTCAAGATTTGGACAGCATGAAATTGGTTTAGTAGAGAGCATAATGTAGGCAAAAATGTATGTCTAACAGTTTGAGTTCCGCAAATTGGACAAGCTTTCAGGATGACATGCTCTAATAGCCCATTTAACAAACGCAATGAAAATCACTTAGGCGAAGTTATTTCCCTGGCATAACCATTAAACCTGGAAAAATAAACACATACGGTTGATTTAAGTTCAGAGAAAACAGGCTGCCCTTAAAATTATTAAACACACACATTTTTAAATGAAAGAATTGAGGATAGCCATGGGAAATGACATTTTCCTTTTTGTACAAGAAATGCTAACATTGTTCAAATATCAGAAAGTGGTGTTTGGCAGTTACTCATCTGTCTTGACTGAAATAATAATGATCTATAATATTGGTTTAGTACATTAGTAATTGTTCATTCTGACCTAAATATATTTGAATTGTAGTGTTATAAAACTGTGATGTTCCTGTCAGTAATAGCTACCACTAAAAAGTAACGATCTGACATAAATCAAGGTTATGTTATTGACCATGCTTCTAAATATCAAATAGTTTAAAATGATTTTTTGAGTTTTTGGAAATTGTCTTTTGACTTCTCTTAGACTTACAGCTAGCTTGAACACGAGTCAAGAACCAATTCAGATTGTTTCCTATTGGCATAGAAAGTGGATTTCAGTATACATCTGTTTGGGCCAAATAAAGCTAAATGCTCCCCACCCCATTTTTTCCCCCTTTTTTGGTCATGGGGCTTGAACTCTGGGCCTGGGTGTTGTCCCTGAGCTCTTCAGCTCAAGGTGAACACTCTACCACTTGAGCCACAGTGCCACTTCCGGTTTTCTGGTGGTTAATTGGAGATAAAAGTCTCACAGACTTTCCTGCCTGGGCTGGCTTTGAACCTCAATCCTCAGATCTCAGCCTCTAGAGTAGCTAGGATTACAGGTGTGAGCCACCGGCACCTAGCTGGGGTTTATTTTTTTTTTTTTATCGACAGCATTGTATTTGTATTTTCTTTCTTATGACTTATAATGGTTCTGTAATATATGGCCATACTTGGGAATTTTACTATCGTTGGTGGATAGATGGAACTAAGTAAAGTTTAAAACTTAGGTGGTGATTACATGTGCTATAAAATCTGGGCCAAGAATAGGTTACTTGTTTTGGTTGTGTGTGTGCCAGTCCTAGGGATTGAACTCATGGCCTAGGCACTGTTCATAAGCTTTATTTGCTTACGGCTCACATTCTAGTACTTGGCCCATACCTCCTTTTTCAGCTTTTTGGGTAGTTAATTGGAAATAACAGTCTCATGAACATTCCAGCCTGGCTGGCTTTGAACTGGGATCTTTAGATCTTAATCTCCTGAGTAGTTAAGATTACAGGCATGAGCCCTGGCACCTGGCTAGAGTAAGTTACTTTTGAATGAATCTTCTCCCTTCTTGCCAATGGGCAAGACAGATAGATTCAGATAATGAATTAGTGAGATAGGACTATGTTTCTGAGATGGGACCTATGTTTCTTGCTTGGCCTAGTAGGCCCAAGACAGATGTGGAAAAAGAGACATTGTTTCAGAACATCTAGACTCTGTCTCTCCCTAGCCCCCTTCTAGTTTCCTGTGTTCCTGTAGAGAGGATTTGCAGAAGAGACCTAGTTAAAATTAACAACCAGTAAGAATATTGTGAAACCCAGCCAATAAAGTATTATCTTCCAAAACACCTAATTATAAGAAGGACAACCACTCAGGGCACAACCCAGAGTATAAGAAAGCCTAGACCTAGAGGTACCAGGATGCAAAGAGCCACAGATAGAGACATCTGAAGAAGACAGGCTGGATTACTGACAGAGAGAATATTTGATGGACAAGTCCAGTAGCAGTGGCAGCAGCCTTCAACATAGGTATTTCTCTTCTTAAAAGTTCTTCATATTCATCCTCCATTGTCCTGGACCTTATTTGGTTGAGTTCCAGAGACAACAATGCAAGGAAGTTTAGAAACAAATGCTAAGCAGTAACACTGGCAGATATTGCCTGCTGTTGAGATTCAACACTAAGCAGATAGTGTCTGCTACTGAGTCAGAAGGGCTGTGTGAGCTCTTCTCTCTATGGCAACAGCAGAACATTTTGTATCACTATGATTCCTTTGTGAAGGCAGGACTGGCTTTCTGTTTTTAGAATGGCTTGGCACTTGGTTTAGTGCTCTGCTATTGCCATTTGGGCATTCTTACTCACTTTTCCATTGAGCCTACCCAATTGCAGCCAGTCCTGTCTGAAGCTCTTTATCTCAAATTCTCAAAAACAAGAAAGAGACTCTTCCCTTCCTTCTTTCACTTCCTCCCTCCTTTTCTCCCTTCCTTCCTCCCTCCCTTCTTTCCTCCCTTTTCTTCCCTCCCTCCCTTTTTCTCCCTCCCTCCCTGCCTTCCTTCCTTCTTTCCTTCCTTTCCTTCCACCCTCCCTCCCTTCCTTCCTTCCTTCTTCCTCCCTCCTTTCCTCCCTCCCTCCCTTCCTTCCTTCCTTCCTTTTTAAAAAAAATTTCTATTCTTTAAGCCACTCATTCTGTGGTGCCTTGTTATATCAGTAAACTAATTATGTTTTTTAGTTGGCCAAATATGTTTATTATGTATATGATGTATTGTACATCATTTAATCTCTGTGTGTTCTTGATCAATTGTTTTTGTTGTTGTTGTTTTTTGTTTTTTTTTTTTGGGTCCTATTGTGGGGCCTGAACTCTGGGCCTGGGCACTGTCCCTCAGCTCTTCAGCTCAAGGCTAGCACTCTACCACTTGAGCCACAGCACCACTTCCGGCTTTTTTTCTTTTTGCTTATGTGGTGCTGGGGAATCGAACCCAGGGCCTCATGCATGCAAGGCAAGTGCTCTACCACTGAGCCACCTTCCCAGCCCCTCAATTGGTTTACAGGTGAAGAGTAAATGGAGTTTGGGTTGGATAATGTGTCTGCCATATCAATTAAAAGTAATTCATTTCAGCCAGGAGTCAGTGGCTCATGCTTGTAATCCTAGCTACTCAGGAGGCAGAGATTTGAGGATTACCATTTGAAACCAGCTGGGGCAACTGTGAGATTCTTATCTGTAAGTACCAAAAAGCTGGAAGTGGAACTATGGCTCTTATGGTAACTTTTAGCATAAAAACTCATGAGTTTAAGCTCCAGGACCAGCATAAAAACAATAACACCCCAAGCAATTAAAAGCATTTGTGAGCTAAGAGACAATTTCTGGGTAAGATCTATCTTGTTGAATTAAAAAAGAATGATTCTGGGCTGGAAGGTGGCTCAGTGGTAAAGTGCTTGCCTCACATGCTTGAGGCCCTGGGTTTAATTCCTCAGCACCACATAAGCAGAAAAAGCCAGAAGTGGTGCTGAGGCTCCAGTGGTAGAGCTCTGGCCTTGAGCTGAAGAGCTGAGGGACAGTGCCCAGACCCAGAGTTCAAGAAAGAAAGAATGATTCTATGATCTGATTCCAGAAGATGTCATATATCTCAATTGAGAATACATCATATGACAACTGTTATATATTTAGTCAATTCCTATGATTACTTCATAAAATGATTTCTTGGTTAGAATGAACTAATTTTTCACTCTTTGTTCTTAGTTTCTTAATGGTATTCTCGGATTTTTGCTTTCTTTGGCTAGTATTTTAAAACTGAGATGCTCTTACTGAATCTGATTCTCTAAAATATAGTTAGAACTGTAGAGAAAGGTGGTCAGCAATCAGTTCTTATCAATGAAGTCCAACATTAATGCAGATTGTTTGGCAGACATTTTCTCCTTTTTCTGGCAGTTTATCAAGTATTGCTTCCTCAGGAAGTTTCTCTGATGTCTCTCCATGGAAACTGATATAGTGTTTTACCTCCTCCCTTGTAATTAGTTGTTTACTAGCCTTTTTCCCTCACTTGGCTCTGAGCAGTTTGAGAGGAAAGACTGCTATTTTTAATCTCCTCATTATCTCTGTGTCTTTGAGTACAGTGTCTACATTCTAAAAGGATCCTTCATACATTTGCTGAATTGAGTGGATGAGTACAATACTTAAAAAAAATTCATTTGTTAAGAAATGGAGTTATGAACTATATGGCTTTTCCAAATTATCTTCTTCTCTTTTTAAAAATAAACATTTTTACTGTTATTATAAAGATGATGTACAAAGAGATTACTGTTTCATCAGTAGGTAATGAGTAACATTTCTTTTTGGACAATGTTATGCCTTACTTTGTTTTTCTCCCAGTCTTCTATATTATCTTAATCTCTGTCAGGTGGAGTGTGGGTCTTTGGAAGAAGTGTGTGTGTGTGTGTGTGTGTGTGTGTGTGTGTGTACACCTGTCCTGGGTCCTTTCCCTAAGCTCTTTTTGCTCAAGGCTAGCATTCTACCATTTGAACTACAGCTGTACTTCTGACTTTTCTGGTGCTTAATTGGAGAGGAGTCTCATGGACTTTCCAATCCCAGCTGGCTTTGAACAGAGATCCTCAGATCTCAACCTCCTGAGTAACTAGGATTAAAGATGTGAGCCACTGGTGTCTGGCAGAATTAGTTTTATGTTCCAAATAGATATGCAATAGCTTTTAATCACAATATGAGTCAGAAAAAAAATTTGAACATTGAAATGACTCTATTATACCAATTTTGAGTGACAATTGTTACCAGGAAGTCAAAACAGTGACCTACATAAGTCCTTGAAGTTTGTAAGAATAATTCCACTAAAATGAGAATCGCAGTGAAAGTGACAGGAAAGATTACTGGGAAAAGAATATGGAAGAGAAAGGGGATTGCACAGCATGATGCAGTGGGAAGATGGCACTTGAGGCCATCTTTAGTCATCTTCAGAGTACAGACTTGAGCACTAGGTTTAAATAGAGGAAGAATTAGGGACAGGGAACAAAGGTATACAGTTTAGAGACCCAGTTACAGTTGTGGTCTGGCTGGTAATTTTCTCAAGTTTGGTTCTCTTTGGTTCAGGAAAAGTTGTTCTTCCTGCCATTTTGAGGGAAGTACTCTTTCCCAGGACACATTTCCTTGGGCTTCAAGGTACAACCTGATTACCATAGATAATAATACCATTTGGGGGTGATCTGTCCTGAAAGCCTCTGCTGTTCCTTGGGGGTAGTTTAACAGTCCCTGTCATAAAGATGTTATTAAGCAGTCCTGTCTTTCCTGGAACCCAAGGTGATTGATCGCAGAATGACTGTGGAATGAACAGCTTAGAACAATGACAAACACAAAATGGAAGCAGAGGGGCCAGGTAAAGATGTTTTGTATGTGTAGCAAACCTTTGAACAGACTGAAAAGTAAGCTGTCTCAAGGGTGAAAAAACCAGCGTTATCCTTTGAGGTTTGAACACTTACTGAGATTGCTTGTGAGAAATTTCTACCCCTGGGTCTAGTCTGTAGGGCTGAGGTCTTGTGAAGTCTTAATTACAACATTTTTTTTTTTTTCTCTTAGAAACGTTGTGGTTGTGATCTCAGCCTACATTTTAGGTTCCTTCTGCATTTCCAGATTGTTCATGGTTAGCTGTTATCAATGAGAGAAAGAGGGCAGGTGAGGGGTGAGGGGGAGAGAAAGAGGGTAAGAAAGAAGAGGGGAGAGGAAGGGAGCTGTGAAGGGAAAGTGAGGAAAAAATGGTGAGAAAAGGCAAGTGGTATTTATAAGGTTTAAATATCTTTATTTGTGCCAGACCCAATGGGACACGAATCATTACAGCACAGAACTGTCAGAACAGGTGAACCCACCTTGTTTAAAGTGCTGTAGCTCTTCTTTAGGTAACAAGGACAACTGACACAATGTGCAGCTTGATGTTCCTTTGGGGTGCTCCAGTCAGGCTGCGGCCTTTCCTGCAGAGAGGGGAAGAATGGCCACCTGACTGATTGAATTACGCCTCTCTTCCTCCGAAGCTCAGAGGTTTTTGCTATCAATTCATGACCGAAATCTCCATTCCTGACTGGAAACATATTTCATGTTCTAGAATGAACGAGGAGATTCTCTCCACCGACCAAGAGCTTTTGGAACAAGACACTGGCATTAAAGGGACTTCACACTTCACCGCTGGAAGTTACCTTTTCGTGTTCCTCAAGCAGTAAACGCACAGTCCGGACCAAGGCGGCATTTTAGAATTCACTTTCTAATTTGGAATTGGCTACGGGTCCTTTAAAAAAACAAATTAGAGTCCAAGCCCGAGGGCGCGGTCGAGGGGCCCAGCCACTGACGCGGGCTTCTTCCGGGAGTCAGCGGCAGGCCTGCCGCCTGGCATCCTGGGACTTGCAGTTTCTCTTGGCCACTCTGTCTGAACTCCCGACTCTAGAAGGGGAAACAGATGGACTACAACTCCCAGAGGGCCAAGCGACAGCAGCGCGTCCTGTCCTCTCGCCGCGGCTGGGCGGCAGGTTCAAGTTGCCATAGCTGCGAGTCCGGGGAGAGCGGAGTCGGTTGCGCCGAAGCCTTTGGTCAGTTGCACCTTGTGGGTCACCCGTGGCCGCGGGAGCCGGGTGGGGGCCTCGGCGATGATCCGGCATTGAGAACCTGGAGTCACCTTTAGTCTCAGGTGCCGGCCCCCACTTCTCCCCGAGCCCTTTCTCTGGTGCTTCCCTATCTCACCGAGGGGACGTTTGTTTTGGGGGCGCCCGGGGTGGGCACCCCACATGTGCGCCGAGTGCGGGGTGGGATCGTGGGAATAGCCGTGTGGCGAGGGCGGGGGGGAGATGCTGGCGTGTGTTAGCGGTCCCCCTCCTGCCTCCCCCCCTCTTGCCTCCCCCCCCTCCTGCCTACCCTCTCCCTCCCTCCGCCCCCCCTCCCATCCCCGGCCGGGCCCGGCCCGGCTCCCCGGGAACTGTCATGGCTCTGTCCTCGCTCTGGCGGCGGCATGGCCTGCCGCCGGCTCTGCCACCCCTTAGCTGTCCGGACTGAACGCATTTTAGGTAGCTCTTCCGCAGAACCTTCTAGCATTTGCTTGCTTGACCGTCCCTCCCGCCCCCCCCACCTGTCATGAAGCTAGAGATAAAGACGTTTGCTCCCCTTCCCCCCACGCTGTCATCTGCCACCTGTTTTTCCTAAAGGAAAAAAAGCGTTGGTAGCGCCGAGGTGGTCAGCGGCCCCTTCTTGAATTGTCTCAAATACAGGACCCGACATCCAATGCCATTGCTTTCCAGGGCCTCGTCTCCTAGGAAGAGATCCAGGAGAACTAGAGGACCATCATGTAGTATTGACACAACTGTTATTTAAACTATTTGGCTCAGAGAGAATGCCCAGTTTTGTTACTTGTTATTGTTTAACCACACAGAATTGTTGTCCAAGAGAAATAATGCTTTTAAATTTCATAATATGAACATTTAACGAAGTGAAAAAAATTCTGCACACTGTATCACCAATGTATTCAGTATGTAGCAAGTGTATATATGAGGGGCTGGGAAGGTGGCTCAGTGGTAGAGCGCTTGCCTTGCATGGATGAGGCCCTGGGTTCGATTCCTCAGCATCACATAAGCAGAAAAAGCCCGAAGTGGCCTTGTGGCTCAAGGGATAGAGTGCTACCCCTGAGCTGACAAACTGAGGGACCAAGCCCAGAGTTCAGGCCCCATCACGACTGACAAACACAAACCCCAAACCCCTGAGATGTGTTTTTTTTTTTTGTATTTTTTCACATCCCTTCCCAGCCTCCCCCCCCAA